CACTTTAGTAATTCTTTTAAATTCTAATGTTTTTCAATTTAATGATTTTCCAATTTCATTAAATGTTAGTGTCATTCAATATTATTATGTGGTAATTGTTGTCAATGTCATTTAATAAGAATTTAATGGACATTTTAACAAAAAATGTGAACAACCAATTCCTAACATTTTAGGTGTCATTTGGATAAAATTTAAAAAATTTCATAAAAGTTTTTAAAATCTCATGTTTAGAAATGGATTTCAATTCTTTTAAAATGAAAAAATCAATAACACCCCCTTAGTGTAAAGGCAAAACCCTTTGTAAGAAAATTATGTATATGTGATTTGATCCTTTACGGTCTGACAGAAATCGTTTTCTTTTTTAAATTTCATTCTTTTTAAATTTCATTCTTAAATCTAAAGTTATCATCTTTTTCCATTGTTTTTTAAATTTCATTCTTAAATCTAAATTTATCATCTTTTTCCATTGTATCAAACTCCTTTTCGATTGTTAACACACCTGAACAGATTTGGAGTGTGAAAGTGTTCATATTATGATATATTTTTAATATGAACATAACAATAGAGAAAATGAACATTAGAACTATGAACATTAGTTGACAAAACAAAATTTATGAACACTAAATTTGAATACAAAAGGAATGCAAATTCATTTTGTTCTATTTTTACAGATTAATAGAGAGAGAAAAAATTGTGATATTAAAAAAATTCTTAAAGACAAAAAAAAAAAGAAATTCGGGTACCCACAGGTAACCCTAAACATACTGGGCATGTTTGTTTCAGGTTGGGGTCGCGACAACATCCCTACTTGCCCATGATTGAAGGAAAATGAGCTTTTACACACCAGATCATTAGCTCTACAGCATTCACAAATATATTCCCCCATAATGTCTAGTAGTAACATAACTCGACATTAAAACAAACAAGCCCACATACTAGCAATAGAAACTTTAAGTTAAATGATTCCACCAATTAAACTCTTGGAAAAGGGCTACAATTTCTTAATTGAATGATTCATCACATGATATATTCTATATTCTAAAAACATAAGAGAATAAATAACACTATCCTTCTCAGGTTTTACCACCCTCCAATGTGGGAAATCTAAGAAAAGTCACAAAGTCTTGATCTTGAAGAACAAGATTCTCCTTTTTCTTACCTAATTTGAGAATGGAATCATGTTACCATTTGAAGTTTGCTCCAAGGAATTTTAAAACCCACGAGCTCAGGAATCATGTTACCATTTGAAAGTTTGCTCCAAGGAATTTTAAAACCCACGAGCTAAGGAATCATGTTACCATTTGAAGTTTGCTCCAAGGAATTTTAAAACCCACGAGCTCAGGAATCA